TAATAAAAGAGAGCTTCAAGAGTTTTTAAAGTTTGTTAAGAGGATTGATGGAAAAATTCAATTCACGATGAAAGTAGAGGAAGGTAAGCAGTTACCGTTCCTGGACGTTGAATTGATTTGCTCTAATTGGACGTTTAAAATGAAATTATTCAGAAAGAACTCCTATGCTGGGATAATACTCAATTTCCGGTCCCATCACAATAACAGTCTAAAGATTGGAATAAAAAAAGACTGATCATCCGAAGCCTACGCCTAATGGATGTAAAATTCTAGGAGGAGGAGCTTGACAAATTGACGAGAATATTCCTCGGCAATGGCTACCCAAACGAAGTAATAAAAAGAAACATCTAGCCATGAAAAGCCGATGGCAGAATAGGGGCTATAAAAGAACAGTAAGGACGGAAAAGGATTAGCAAAAGCGGATATGTCTACCTTCCTGTGAACTAACTCAAAAACTACGGCCAATATTGAGTAAATGTAATACTCAGGTGGCCATGAAAGAGAAATCAACACTTTTCACAAGTCTACCAACGCAACATGAAAGGGTAGACAAATGGGACTGTTCCTGAGTTTACTGCATATCATGCGGAGCCTGCGAACAGAAATATATTGGCGAAACAGGGAGAAAAATTAACACCCGAATCAAGGAACATCATAGGCTCTGCAGGTAAATGGATACCGAAAGATCAGAACTAGAGAAACACATCGCACTGACTGGACACGAGATCAATTAGAAGGCAACAGAAAGAAGATCCCCATACGGTGACAACGCAAGGAAGCGGAAGATTAGGGAGGCCGTTGACATTCTTGAGGAGAAAATTCTAATGAACAGATTAGAGAAAGGTAAAGTTAGCGATAGCTTTGCCTACTGCCTAAGCAAACTCGGATAAAACAAGAATAAAGCAAGAGCAGCAAAAAGGAGACGCCTGGATTAAGGATCTACCGCTAACCGGAGGAAAAGGGATCGCAATAAAGAAATTGTGGGGCAGAGGTTTTCGGCAATGAATCGAAGACGTTGTCAGTGAGTGATGTCCATTTCGAATGAACCAATACAACTTTGGGGGCCTGGCAGTCAGGGTGCTGGGCAGACAGATAAGCAGACCGTCACAAAAATTTGGCGTTATGGCCAAAATGCATTAGAAATCCACTTGAGATGCCGCATGCGACCAGAAATAAGCGTCCACAGTTTGCTCAGATAACATGGTTTTAATCAAGGAGAGGACCCATGAAGGAAAGGCCTGATATCTGCAAGCATGGGAATCACAGTTCGGGTGTTCTGCTCAGTAAAGCGGCAGTGTACATGCTTCAAAGATCTTGAGAAATAGCGCCTGGAGTGAAATGAACACTGGGACTTAAACCGAATGAAATCGGTCAATCAGAAAGATAAGAAAAGGATCTACGGGATCATGAAAGGGATCTGAATTCAGGCCCGAGTCGGATTAGCCGCTCAAAAGAGAGGGGTCGGGGTAAATAGCAAGTGTGATGAGGCCACACTAGATTTCTCACAAAAGGGCACACATTTTGTCGAGTGAAATGTAAACAAGTGAGAAGTTGTGATAGGGCGGCAGTGGGATGAGAGGGTAAAGAGTAGATAGATATATACGAAGAAAAGTTGTGTCTCGAGGAATCTCTTGTTTCATAATTGTTGAACTTACTTCCATTTCGAGTGGGAGTGTTAGGTGAAGAGTTTCGAAGGTCGGTTCCACCAGAAGACGACGGCTGATTCCTCTTGTCCAGCTGTTGATTGGCTTTACTGGAAGATTCATGCTGACGCTGTTCACGAGGCAATCTCCTTTGATTCCTACTCGAAATAGAAGTAAGCTCAACAAGTAGATAGATAGGCCAGGACAGAAAGAGGAGCGATAGTGTAACCGTTTTCGGCAGAAAGTTTGTCCAGGGATTGACTTCACTTGTCTCTTTGACGAGTTCGTAGCTTGGTGCAGAGAATGGCAAAGCTGACTGATGATGCCGACTACGAGGCCGGCGAAACGTTTGAGAATGTATCAAGTCCACTGTCAGATGCTG